CTTATTTACCCCCTGCAAGAGAATGTCAGCTCTCCCAGGGCAAGGAGTTGTGTCTTGTTCACAGACCTCTCGCTTGCACCTAGCAAAATCCTCTATAGGTGCTAAGTGCTCAATAAAACGCGAGCGGAAATGAACGTCTGTGTCTCTTACCAGATGTGAGCGAGAGTGGGAAAGGAGTGTTCTGCTGTGTTCACCTCTGCAAGACCATCAGCGGTGCCCCAGAGGAGCTTTCTTTGTCCCCCCAAACACCCAGCACTCCATGCTGCCCCCCACTTCCGGCTTTCACCCACATAAGCCTCAGGGTCCACCCACCCTTCCCAACCAGAGTCTTAGGATGGTGGTAGAGAGTGTACCCTTGAGGTTCCCTCCCAAACTTTTGATTTCCTTCCCAGTGAGGAGGAAGAAAAAGGAGAGGAGGAATTGGAGGACCAGGAGCAGCTGCCTCTATGTTCCAGCTAAAAACCATGCATCTTCCAGGTGACCGCCATGTGACTGAGGCCTGGCGGGTAGGTAATGAGGTATGAATGCCCAGCCCTGGGCTTGAGAGGGAGAGGCCAACAATGCCAGCTCCCAGACCAAAGGGACAGAGGAGTAAGCAATGGGGATGGAGCAGATGTTCCCCAAGAGCCACTGCTGCTTCCTGGACCGTTCGCTGTGCTTGCCTTGTTGCCGGCAGAGTAGCCAGTCCATGTGCTTGGGCTCTGGCACCAGCAAGATAGATCTGGATTCAGAAAGCTCTGCTATCTACTGGCTGTGTGCTTTTGGCAGACTTCTTAACCTCTTTGAAACTCAGTTTCCACATCTGCAAAATGGGACAAAATAACAGTACATCACAGGAATGATGCAATGCTTAAATTAAATAGCAGGTATTTTACTATGCCCAGAGTAGGCACCCAATCAATAGAAGCTGTTGTCATTATCTATATAGTTAGAAGGTCTCAGAATGATTTCAAAAGACTCTCTCATCCTATCTGATTGTATATTATTAACAAATAGCATTGTGAATATTTGTTTCACAGATGAGGTGACTAAGGCCCAGAGAAGTTGCTAAACCTCCCAAAGTCACAAAACTATCAAATAACAGAAAATTAGACTCTGGTTTTTATCTTTCCACTCCCTTCCTCCAGAGACTTTCAATGAGAATTTCAGTAACTCCCTCTCCTGTGAAAGTGCGGTCACCTGAACACATTTATGTAGGCCTTCTTGGTGGGCATGAGGTTACGAGCTCAGAACACACTAACTGTCAGTGGGTCTGGCAGTGGGTAATCAGAACAAAGTGCCTGAGTCTTGAGAGTGGGAACAGATGGTAATGCTGCGGGCAGAGGGGCAAGAGACATTCTTACATACACTAATCGTGGCAGGTAAGGAAATGCTGTGGAAACAAACCATCCAGGAGGCATAGAGGCTTAACAAAACACAAGTGGGTTTCTTGCTTGTGCAAAGTCATCTGTGAATCAGGACATTCTCTAGGGCCACCATCCTCCAATTCAGGCCTCTCCCAGCCACAGAGCATCCCCTTGTCACCCAGCCATGGAAGGGAAAGAGAACTGGAGAACTTGAAGTCATAGTCTCTGAAAAGCAATTGAGTGATCCAGGTTTTCTGGGTGCCTCTTGGAGGATGAAATCAACCCCCACCCAGAACTGGTTTGGATGTTGGAATGGATGATGTCACACATATCAAAACAGTATGAAAAGTTTTACTGCTTGAATAATGGACCTTTCTAGGGACAGCAGGGCAGGTGCAAGGGGGTCTGAGTGGTAAGGATGAAGGGGTGGGTGGCTTTGACTTTTACTGAAGCTAGGAGGTGGGGCCAGGGTGAGGGTTCCCCCAAGCAGGCTGGGGTTTGTGTAGTTTGCATCTCCCACCAGCACCAAGGGAGGGAGGGGGGCTATTATCGGCTGGCCTAGATGTGGGGCAAAAGGGGTGTGAAGGCTCCAAAGCTATCATTGGCCAACCAAAAATGGATTCTTCCTTCGGACTTCCCTAGCCATCCATCAGTTAGGACTCCATGCTTCCCCTGTAAGGTGCATGAGTTCCTTTCCTGGTCAGGGAACTAAGATCCTGCAAGCCATGCAGCCTGCCTATCCACAAAGGAGTCTTTTTTCTAGTCTTTCCTAGAAGAAAACATAGACAAGCCTTTGCGTTGGTCTTTGCAGTATCTTTCTATTAATAGTTGTGACTCTTCAGGCAAGGGAAACAAAAGCAAAAATAAACAAATGGGACTATATCAGATAAAAGCTTATTCATTTTTTTAAATGACTTCCTATGCACAGCAAAGGAAATCATAAAAAAAAAAATGAAAAGACAATGTACTGAAAATAGGAGAAGATATTTGCAAATGATATGTCCAATAAGGAGTGACTATCCAAAATATATGAAGAACTCCTACAAATCAACAAAACAACCTGATTAGAGCTGACTAACAGTCGTTAGCTCTGGGTCCTGGGAGCCAAGCTCTCCTGGCTTATTAAAATAATAATAAAGAGTTTTGTGGCAGCAAATTGCTCCCACTATACACTCTCCTTTTGTCCTTTAATAACAGAACCCCCCAAGCTTTAGCTGGGCACATGGATGTCCAGATGAAAACTACATTTCCCAGCTTCCCTTGCAGCTAGCTGCTGCCATGTGACTAAATTTTGCCTGAAATTGAACGTGTTAGTCGCTCAGTCTTGTCTGACTCTTTGTGACTCCATGGACTGTAGTCAGCCAGGTTCCTCTGTCCATGGAGTTTTCCAGGCAAGAATACTGGAGTGGATTGCTATTTCCTTCTCCAGGGCATTTTCCTGACCCAGAGATCCAACCCAGGTCTCCCACACTGCAGGCAGATTCTTTACCATCTGAGCCACTAGGTGAACTAGTGGCTCACCAACTAGTGGCTCACCTAGTGGGGTGTAAGTGAAAGTAATTCCTGCTGCCTTTTAGGAAGGGTGAGCTACCAGCTGCCTCTCTACCCCCTTTCATCTAACTGGAAAGTGGACCCAGCAGGTGTGCTGGTGCACTATCTCTGACTATAGAAGGAAAGAAACAACCTGGGGCAGAGCTTCCCAACTAGTGTGTCTGGAGATGTGGATGCCTTCTGCCCTCAGCAGAGCCTCTTTAGGGCCCCGAGACCCTTCTACTCTTATGCCGAGGTGGTATATCTATATGATGTTTCTATGTGTGCCGTGTTGCAAAAAATTAAGGGGAAAAATAGAAGGAAACAGCAGCAGATGACTGAGCAAGAAGGTGGAAGGAGGTGGGGGCATGCATGATCTCTCCCAGCAGAGCCTCCAGCCAGCCTCCCCCCAACGACCAGGTGAGAGAGAAAGCATCCACCTTGCTGAAGCCATCATTAGAATAGGATTTTGCTTTTGCAGCCATTAAGTTGTGTCCTACAGAACATAGATGGTTTGGACTTGGAAATTATCTTATTGTCTACTCATAGGGAAATAGTTAAGCAGATATGGTCCACATATAAAATAAAATTAGGCAGTCACTACTGAGTTTTTTGTTTTTTAATTTTTATTGGAGAATAGTTGCTTTACAATGTTATGTTAGTTTCTACTATGCAGCAAAGTGAATCAGCTATATGTGTGTGTGTGTGTATATATATATCTCCCCTCTTTTTTGGATTTTCTTCCTATTGAGGTCACCATAGAATACTGAGTAGAGTTCCTTGTGCTATACAGTAGGTCCTCCTTAGTTATCTATTTTATACATAGCACATCATTGCTGTTTTTAAAAATACTTTGGTGACATGAGGGAAATGATTGAGATATAATGAGATAGGAGAAAAAGAAATTTATGATCTCGGAGTGAGGCAAAGGATCTCTGAATTACACTGTGGTTATGTCAAGTGATGAGCGGTGAGTGGGTCTGGGGCAAGGTGACCCCCAGGCAGACTGAACTGGGGTTGAGGTGGAGACTCAGCGTTCCAGTCTGACCCAGGAGAGTGGGTCAGGGTTGAGTATGCAGACTAAGCAGACTAATCCAACTAGAATCAGTCTTAGGATGTTTGCTGAGAATTGTGACACAGATGTTTCCTTTCTCTGGGGAGACTGATTTCTCCATATGTGAGGTGGACTTGTGGTTAAGACCCTGAGCCGTGGAGCAAGACTGCCTGGGGTCCAACCCCAGCCCCACCCCTACTTGGAAACTTTAAGAAGGATACTTTGCCCTATTCTTAAAACTAGGGATAATTATAGTACCTACTATAACTTTGTTGTGACAATAAGATGAGTTGATACAGATAAGAAAACACATTGCAGTGTCTGGAACATAGTAAGTGCTTGATAAATCTTAGCTGTTATTATTATGTGACACCTGGAACTTTTGCAGCTACTGGGAAGGAATCCAGCCAGAGGGTCATGAAGCTACTGGATTCAACCAGACCCAAGGCCAACCTGCACTTCCAGTTCTGACCACCAATGAATTCCCTCAGCATCCAGACCAGTTGCAATTGTTTTATTTTTTTGGATACTTGGCAGCAGAAAATACCCCATGGTGAGACTTGGGCAAGCCATGTAGCTCTCTGAGCCTCAGTTTCTTTATCTTTACTTTTAAACATTTATTTGATTGAAGTATAGCTGATGTACAATGCCGTGTTAATTTCCGCTGCACAGCAAAGTGATGCAGCTATACATCATATACATTCTTTTTTCATATTCTTTTCCATTATGGTTTATCACAGTAGGACCTTGTTGCCTACTCATTCTATACATAATAGTTTACATCTACTAATCCCCAAATTCCAATCCATCCCTCTGCCCTCCCCCAGCACCCATACCCCCACTCCCGTCCCACAGTTTCCCCCTGAGACCACCAGGCTTCCAGACAGGGCCAAACCCCATGGGAAGTTCTATCATGTCTCTTCTTTCAGAACAATCCCTATCCAGTTCTCCCTCCCAGGAAGCACAGACAGGCCAGAGCCAGGAAGTGACTTTAATGTCTTTTGAGCAAGATGAGGCCCCTCAAGGAGGTGGGGGGGAGGAGGGTGCTCGTGACCAGACTGCAACCTCCTCTAAATCAAACGGCAGCGATGGCTACAGCTTGGGTCCTTGTGTCTGCAACGCAGGCCTACTTGGCAGGGACACACGATATTGATGGCGCTCCTGGTCTGCAGAAAATGGGTGAGAGAGTTGAAAGTCACCAAGAAGCAGGGATGAAGCAGGTTTAAACTTCTTGGGGAGCAGAAGCAAGAGGCCAAGGGATGGAGTGAGACAGACTTCAGGTCTGACAGCTCTACCGCTTATAACACTGTGACCTTAGGCAAGCTTCTTTGTCTTAGTTCCCTCATCTGTCAAATGGGAATAATGAAGGACATCCCTGGTGGTCCAGTGGCTAAGACTCTGAGCTCCCAATGCAGGGGCCCAGATCCTTGGTCATGGAGTGAGTGAAGTTGCTCAGTCGTGTCTGACTCTTTGCGACCCCATGGACTGTAGCCCACCAGGCTCCTCAGTCCATGGAATTTTCCAGGCAAGAGTACTGGAGTGGGTTGCCACTAGATTCCAAATGCTACAGCTAAGAGTTCACATGCCAGAACTAAAGATTCCCCCATGCCAGGATCTTTAGACCTAGTGCAGTCAAACAAATAATTTATTTTTAAGGAAATAATAATAGTAACTCCATTTGTCATTGAGGGAATTAAACAAAATGAAGTAGATTAAGTGCCTATAATGAAAAGACCCTCTGGCTACTTCAGCTGTAGAGCTAGGCCACAGGAGGGACCTGGCTGTCTCCCTGGGCACTGGCAGTTCTCCAGACAAAGAGATGGAGACTGAGCCCAGCCTCCCTAGAAAGGTTTGGGCCCAGGGCCAGAAAAAAGGCAAGCAAGAACAAGACGTACTGTGCGTTCTGCTCCCTGCATTTCCACCAGCCGATCACAATCATGCTTCACTGAGCACCGTCATTGCCAGGATCACACACTTTTCCCAACAAGCTGGTTGGTTGGGTACTTTAGCCCCATTTTACAGATGAGAAAACTAAGGCTCAGAGAGCAGAAATGATCTGTCTAAGGTCACAAAGACAGGGGTTGGTAAAGCCAGGGTTTAAATTCAAATCCAATCCCAAAACCATCGACCTGCCTGGGCAGCTCCTCAAGAAATTCGGTCATTGCGGCAGCATGGTCGAGATGGATTGGGAGGTCTTTTCCCACCTGCTCCGCTGCAGGGATGTTACAGTAGAGACACTCATTCATGCAATAAACGTTTGTTGAGCAACTACTATGTGCAGGCACTAAGCTGGGGGGTAGGGGCTCAAAAGTGAATATGCTTTAATCCTGCTCTTGCAGAGCTCTGACCAGTGGTGGAGGCAGACAGAAGGCAGGCAAATCAGGGAGATGCATGCTCTGCTGAGGGTGTGGGTCCCAAGGGCATGCGAGTTCCAAGGAGGGAAGGCTTCTTGGAGGAGGTGGCTGGAGTTGCATTGCAGGATGATCAGGAGTTTGCCAGGTGGAGAAGGGGGAAAGGACACTTCAAGCAAAGGGTGAAAAAAGCAGGTGCAGCCATGCGGGGCTACGTACCAGCAGGGGCTGCCCCTCGGGGGCAGGGTCTCACCTGGGGCAAGCACGTCATGGTTATTCTGGCCCGAGGGGCACAGAAAGCACCGCCGGAGTCCAAGCTGATGAGACAGCAGTCACTGAAGCACTCAGAGTGGTGGGAGCACCTCGCCCCGTTTGCCTGTGGGAACAACCCCTAAGTCACCAGCTCTTTAGCCGTGTGTGTGTGTGTGTGTGTGTGTAGAGGGGGTGCCCTGACACTGCCAAAGCCCCACGGATCCAGAAAGAGAAGTCCTAGAGAAGTTCACCCCCACGTCCCAACCCCACTGCAATCAGAGGAACAGGGGAGAGGAAGGGGGAAGTTAGGACTTTTCCCACTGCTTCTTCTTTCCTGGGGGACCCCCTCACCTCTGTGGCTCCGAAAGGGTCACCTGTGTTGATGGACCAAATACTCCCCATCACACTTTAGTGGGGGATGGGGAAGGGACAGAGAATGGGGTGGAGAGAAAGAGGAGGAAGGAAAAGGAGGAAAGAGTTGCATGCCTAGAAGGGCACAGAGAGGGGCAGAGGCTAGGGCAGGTGTGCAAGGCACAGCTGGGGGCAGGACTGAGCATCCCAGAGAGGAAGGGGGAGGGGAGGGGGGAGGGGAGGGAAAGGATGCTGCTGGTGTAAGTCCACTTCCTTTTACCTCCAAAGCCACTAGGGAGGTGAAGCAAGGTCTTTGAAGTCCTTTGGGAGCACACCAAGCTTCCAGCCTGAGAAGAAATCCCCAGTACGGGGTGGTCCCCTCCCCTGCCCTGTCCCCCACTTCTCTCTCCAAACCCAACTGGCCCATTCTGGATGGAGAGTGATGCCCCAGCCACCGCCCTCGGCTAGAACGGAAGGTTCGAAATGTCCCTTGGCTCACCTTTGTAGACCCCTTTTTAAAGAGCGCGAACTCTCCACAGCAGGGGAGCAGGACCCCCGCGAGGAGGAGCGCGATGGCCAAGGCCATAGGTGCGGCGGCTCCACGAAGCCGAGGGGCGGTGGGGAGAAACCCCTTGGCGGCCTCGTGACCCGTGCCCCCGCGGCCGCCCTGGGCTGGAGGCGGAGGGTGAGGGAGTTAATGGTCACAGGCCGCTCGGGAGCCGAGGCCAAACCCCGCGGAAACTCTCTAGCGCCCAGGAAGCTCCCTGCCTGGCCTGCCGAAAGGATGGAATGAGACCCTGATTCAGGCTTTGACAGGCCTGATGATCGATTTTCCGGGCCCTGGGGCCTTCCGTGTGTCATACTTACAAGTAAAAACCTAAAACTGTAAACTAAGGCTTTATCTTGCAAAATTATGCAAAATTTGTATGCTGAAATGAAAACAGCTGGCTTCTTGATATTCGGACTGTCTCTCTGCCTTTGCTGCACCAAACTACCTCCCGGCCTACCCTATGTTTGGGACAAGCCAGCCCAGACCTCTGGTGTTTCCCATTTCCTCTCCAGGCCCAGACGTGTGGTCTGTAAGAATCAGGAGCCAAGAGAAGGTGACCTCTAAGACCTAGAGGTCTCCCAGTTCTAAGAAGTCAATGAAGTGTCTAGGAATTTGTGAATCGTATGTGACTCAGCCACCTTGGTATGAGGGCAGGATGGAGGACGGGAAGACTGGGAAGGAAAAGGAGGGTTCTCTGGGGAGAGCTGCAGGCAACAATCATGGGCCCTGGGAGCGGCAGACTTGCCTCATCTCTTCCCTCTGGATGAAACTCCCACCTCATCTCACCCTGGGCTGCTTCTCTGCTTTTAAAGTTTGGCTCTTGGATTTCCCCAGTGGTCCAGTGGGTAAGAATCGACCTACCAATGCACGGTCACAGGTTCGATCCCTGCTCAGGGAAGGTCCCACATGCCACAGGGCAACTACTAAAGCCCGGGCACCACAACCACTGAGCCGGCTCTCTCGAGCCCGTGCTCTTCAAGAAGAGAGGTCAGCACGGTAACCAGCAGAGAGGAGCCCCCACTCTCTGCCACTGGAGAGACCTGTGCACAGCAGTGAAGACTCAGCACAGTCAAAAGTGAATAAATAAATAAATGTAATAAAATTAAAAAATATATATATATATGTAAAATTTGGCTCTTAAGATCTGAGGAGCCCTGACTTGATGGGGTGCCATAGACTGAGTTGTTCCCCCCTCCCCCAAGTTCATAAGTTGACACCCTATCCCCCCAGTGTGATGAGATTTGGGGGTGGGGCCTTTGGGACATAATCAGGGTTAGATGAAGCCATGAGGGTCCCCTCAGGATGGGATTAACAACACCCTCATGAGAAGGGACCCCAGAGAACTTACTGTCTCTTTCTCTCTGCCATGTGAGGACCCCGTGAGAAGGCAGCTGTCTGCCAGCCAGAAAGAAAATTCTCACCAGAACCGGACCACCTTTAACCTGGATTTTTAGCCTCCATAGGGTGAGAGATAAACGTCTGTCGTCTAGGCCACCAGTCTACGGTGTTTTGCTGTGGCAGTGTGAGCTGACTATTATAGAGGGTTTAGGTCTTTTCTTTAAGAAGCACAGCCCCCACTGTCCTCAGAGGGGTTTGTGTCCAAGATCTCTGTCAGTCCTCCCTGTATCAGTCATGGTAGTTAACAGTCTGTCATAGCAGAAAACTCTAGAAATTTCAGTGGCTTGGCACAATAATGCATTACTTGTCAGTCATGTAAATTTTGATATGTGACAGGAAGACTCTCTTCCATCTCATAGCCACATCATCTGGAAGACTGGCCCCCAAGGTCCTTATGGAGGAAGGGAGAGAGAGGAGGAGAAGGTACATGACACCTCAGTGCCTTGGCCAGGCCTGACAGCTGCCTCTTCCACTCACAGACCGACTGTTGGCCACAACGAGTCACGTGACCCTGACCTTCTGCAAGGGAAGCTGGGAAATCCAAGTCCTAGAAGCCTTAGCATCTACTGTCGTTTCTGCTGCCTGTTTTATAGGTGAAGAACCCAAAGGCTCAAGGTAAAATAATTTGCCCAAATAACACAGTTGAGTCACAGGGAGAGGTATCAACCCAGGGCGTTCTAGCTCCTGAGGTCAAGCTCTCCCCATATCCCACTGCTGTGGGCAGCCAGAAGTCTTTGTTCCCTAAAGGAATTTCTGTCATCTTTTGTTTCCTGTCTGTAAAGCTCATTGTGAACCCAAGAGGAGCCCCAGGGTATAATAATTCTTCGTGTTAGAGTCACCTAGTTCCCTGAGGTATTTGGCCCTGCCTTGTGAGTGGTTGATAATAGGTAAATAGTGTCTCTGCTCAGGAAAGGGAGTGATCTGAGGGCAAGAGACCAATGGCTGTGTGTCAGGACTGACAGGTTGAAATTCTTGATCGGAGGCCCAGGAACCTCAGAGAGGCTTATTGAAGGCCCTGAGGGGGAGGTAAGTCCCTGAAATTCTAAATTTTCTACCAAAAAAAATTTTTTTTTTAAGTCACAGGACTGAATTAGCCTCAGAGACTGGTTCAGAAACTTCTGGGTTTTTCCCTTTTTTAATTTTTTTGAAGTCTAGTTGACAGAGCCTTCATTTTTTTAAATTATTATTTTGGTTGGCCATGCCTCACAGCATGCGGGATCTTAGTTCCCTGACCAGGGATTGAACCTGCACCCCCTGCAGTGGAATCTGAACCACTAGGGAAGTCCCACTAGTGCCTCTGTTTTAAGGTGAAGAAACTGAGGCCCAGAGACAGATGGGACTTCCCCAGGTGACTCAGCAGAGCCCGGTCTGGACCCGGGCACCTGACTCCAAGTCCTTGTGTACCAGTGGCTCGTTTCCCAAATCCAGCTGGCACTGATCACAAGCACAGATACAAGACCCATGTGCAGGGTGGGGGGTGGGCACCAGATTACTAGGGTCCTTGAGACACCCGATCTGTGAGAGCGGCTCCAGCTCTGCCCTTTGGCCAGGACCTGAACCTGGGCAGCCCAGTCTCATGTGAGGAGAAGGAGGGCAAGAAGGGCCTGGCTGGCGGGCCTCTGTTCTCCCACCCCCGCCACTAGCGCCATCCTCCCCCTCCCCATCCATTTTTCCATTCTCAGACACCCTCCAGTGTCTTCTCCTTCCCTGCATCTCTCTGTTGGTTTCCATAACAATATTCTCACTGATCTACAGCAAAATGGAAAAAATTAGGGCAATGTGGTTTTTGTTCTTGTCGTCAAACATATTTAAAGAACCCTTCTTTATTTTGAAACTACATCCTTCCTACTTTCTTGGCTTTCCAGTGTGTTTTTATGAAACAATGGAAAATAAGACAATGCTAGTAGTTTTATTTGGTTTTCCATGCTGTTTCTTGGCCAATATATTAGATAGATATATATATACACAAATTCTGTCAGTTTCTCAAATTTTTTGGAGCTTTTAATCAATCTGGGAAATCCAAAATAGAAATCTGGTGAAAACTGCCCTAGGTAAAAAAAAAAAAAATCACCCATTTCTCTACTCATTCCTGAAGGAATGCTCAAGGGAGTCAAGAGAATGACGAACAGAGGCTGGAAAGAGCCTGGGAAGTAGAGAGAGCACAGCCAAGGCTTCCTAGGAAAGAGGACAGGCAGTGTCCGTGGGCACAGAGGTGGAGGCGCCGGGGTCCATAGGATGCCCAGGACAGGCAGGGAAGCCTGCAGCCGGGGACAGTGCTCTTTCATGAGGGCTTGAAGGGGGACTACAATTTGGGCAGGCTGAGAGTAAAGGTTTGTAAGCAGGGGTCCAATTCCCTGGTGGTCCAGTGGCTAGGACTCGGTACTTTCACGGCTGGGGCCCTGGGTTCAATCCCTAGTTGGGGAACTAAAATCCCACAAGCTGCGAGACTTAGCCAAACTAAACATACAAGCAGGAGTCCAGAGGGACAAATGTTTGGAGGTGAGAATAAATAGGGGACAGGCTGGCTCTCTGCTTACAGAGGGTGCAGAGTGGAGTTGGGGGTGGTCAGTGCTCCGGGTAACTTGGGGGACCTTGGGAGTAGCCCCAGTTGTGGGGTCTCCTCAGTGGAAAGCTGGGCTGGTGGAGGCCGTGCTGGAGTTGGACGTAGCCTGGGGTCCAGGGGTTTCATGGGATGGGGCTTCTCTGCTGCTCTGTGAAGACAGGAGGGGTCTCCTGAGAGAGGAAGAGGCCCGGTCCTGAGGGAGGTTACCTCACACCCATCCTCAGGTCATCTCTCTCTCTCTCTCTCTCACGCACACACACACACATACACACACAGCTCCCATCTTATTTCTTCCCGGCACAGTCTGGTCCTGGGGAGGGGCGGTCAGCTCAGCTGGGAAGGAAGACAGGCCTGGAGGGAGAGGACAGAGCTGACCACAGCCCCGCCTCCTCCAGAGGTAGCCAGCTCTTGGACCCCAAGGCGTCTACCTGGAGGAGAGAAGTGGGTAGTCACACCTGGTGGCCCGTGTGCTACTGCGTCGCTCTCCACCCACGGGAGCATCTCGACAGGTTAGCCTATGACGAGGCTTCCTCAGAGGGGCCACAGAGGGCTCCCCACAACCTCTGTGTTCGGGGGAAATGTTCATGATGAGGTTCCTCAGAGATCTCCGAGCAGCTTCAGGTGACAGAGGGGCGACCGGACCTGGCGCCTGGCCCACACTGCCCATACGGATGGGAGCTTCGTCCTTCTCTGACTCAGTGGAGCCTCTGAGCCACAACGGTACTTAGTGGCTTGGACAGAGTGTTTCTGACCTCCTCAAGGAGCCATGACGTAATCACAACTCTTTTAGCTACACCTCAAAGAAATGCAAGACTAACTTGTTTTAAAAATAAAAACCAAGGGAGCAGCACTGGGCCAGCAGCTGTGCGAGGCTGGCCTCCGGCCCAGGGGCACACTCCCTGATATTAGGTGTCTCCTCTTTGGCTTTAGCCTTTGTGGGGGCCTCAGTCTGTCTGTCTCTTGGGAGGGTGGCTGCCTCTCTGGACAGTGGCAGCGGGGTGGGCAAAGCTGTGTAAAGCCCCAAGCCCCTCCCCTCAGCACCCATTATACAAAACCCTAGAAGACTCCACTGGCC